TAGTACCGTAGGTAAGTTAGCACAGAGCTATTTTATATTCAAGTAACTGTTAATTTAGCAAGTCTAGCAATTGCACAGTTTTCTTAAACTCCACTAATTACTGTATCGTTTGAAGTGTTGTTCGTTGAATATATACATAGACTCAAATCTACTCATACATTTCCGTTGATGGTGATATAATCTATAATAGATTTCGATTGCTAAGGTTTTGTACAGCTCATGAAAATGAATCGTCGAAAAGAAAATTTTCTTCGCTGTTTGTGCCTTTTCTTATGCTAAGGTTTTGTTGATGTAATTTTCGATGATTAAAGGCGAAATGGAAATCTGAACCAGGATTGTATCTGAATTAGAGTCCTACGATTCATTAGTTCAGTGCACAACAAAATGAACTTCATCGTCCAGCTACTGACTTCATCATTATTCCATTAAATTATCTACGCCAACTTTACCTACGATTTAGGGTCACTAAATTTCATAAGATTTTTACACGCGTATAGAGAACATTCACATGTAATTTTGAGCAGCACAGTTTTAAAAGTTACGAGTTTTTCTTTAAAAGAAATCAAAACATCAACAAAATAAATAGTGAACAGTCATTGAATTAGGAAACATTTATTCCGATCTTCGAAAACTCCAGATTACATCTAGATTCCCGATTAAATTTCCATCACTAAAACTTTTACTATCTCAAACAAAGATTCTAAGAATGCTGGTTAAAATAAATCCTAAAAAGATTTATCAGCTTTATTTTGTCTTAAATGTAACATCTTAGTGTATTTTTGGTTTATTTTTTTATCCAATCTATGAGTGACTGCCGTACCAATTTAATCTAAATATGACCACATATTATTTTACACTACTCATGAGTAGGCAGTTGCTATGTGGTAAACACATTTGTACAATAAATACACTGAAACCATGCACAAAAACTTGTCACTGTTCGGTTATTTATACACCTGATTTTTTCTGGAAAACAATGTGCTATTTTTTCTTAAAAGGAAAGTTAATAATCTTATAAAATGTAACTACTTGTTGTTAAAGGAGTAACCGAGCAGTTCTCAAAGGAAATCGTGAAGACTGTAGAAATATTTGTTTGATGATAAGACATATAGTTGAACTAGTGTCTAACCATAAGTGAAAGTATTCTACTCTCACAGGAGGCAAAGTCAGCCAGTTATCTTAGAGTTTTCTGTCGATTACACTCTCAAGACATTACGAAATCCTATAAGGTAAAAGCATCTTTAAAGTCATAGAAGGTCTTGAAACCTCAATGTTTTCTGGCCTATGACATCAATTAGCGTACTGTTTGCGCTTTTGAATAATTTGGCTAGAGGTTGAACATTTTCCAATGATTACACAAAATGCTAATCATCCAGTCATTCAATTCATTCTTGTTGAATTTCGTTCGTGATAATTTTGAAATAACAAACATAATTTTTGCTTTAGGGAAATAGCCTTAAAGTAAACACGTTTATAAATGGGTTTCCAAAGTTCTAACTGCCTGCAGCTGACAATCTACTAGCACAGTCAATCGACTGCAGAACGTAAAAATGAGACCAATGGGTCTCTGAACGATTTCTGTTTCTTTTAACTTGAATGAAAATTCCTAAATTTTCATATTCAACAGACAAGATTTCTATTTCTTGATCAACTGCCTACATTCTACAGAAGGTAGATCGTCAAGAGCAGGATGTTCAGAATTGAAGCTACTGTTCCTTTATTAAGTTTTTGAATTTGCAAAATTTTTCTCCACGACTAGATAAAAAACAAACCTCGTTTTCTCATGAAGTTTCTGATAAGCGAATGTCACCTTTACGAATCATTTGTCATGACTAAGTACATGATTTCTGTGTGTAAATGGATTTCTAAAGAGATATACATAATGATTAGATTTTTTTTCCTTCACGTTCCCCAGTGGAACATAGGGCTTAAAGCTAGTGGCTTGAAGTTTCTGTAGCAGTGTTTGTTTTACAGGATGCGGTTGCTAGCCTCATGCCCGACCTTTCCTGTCTACCAGCATTACTTCTGACTTAGCGAAGTAAAGGAGTGCGTCGGCCGGGGATGGAACTCCGGACCATGTGCGTGGTCGGCGAGCGTCCTAACCGCTCTACCACCAACGCCTAATGATTAGGTATTTTAATTATGTTGTTTATTCCTTTTAAATTCATATTCTCAGTGAACTTCACAGATTTGTGTTCTTTATGCCGAGGTGCAAAGTTTTATCGCAGATTTTTTACATCACTTTACGTATCCCACCGAAATAAGCCATTGAAACAACTGAATAATCACAAGTAGTTGTTTTCTTACAAATTCATACTTTTCAGTGGTTACGGCTAAAAATGCACGATGCCACGTACCACTGACTGATTATTACGAGTAGTTGGATTTAGCTGACATCAACCAGTAATGCTTGCTAAAGAGATCAAAGTAATGAAACCGCAAAACGTCTGTTCCATTTGTTTGGAACCGAGATCATCAGCAGTGTGGTTGGTTGGGCTTAACTCAGAGAGCCAAATCAATCTAAGCACTTGAATTCTTAATAGACAATTAGACGAACTGATAATACAGTTGATTAAATACACAATTTTTAATTTAATTCACGCTCTTTAAGGTGAAACTACAACAACTACTCATATCAAAGAATCAGTAATGTATAGCGTCGTGCAATTTTACTCTCTTCCTTGATTTCTATCTCTCTTATCTTATGAATCACATATTGGTATCCAAATAATTTCGATTATTAAAGAAAATTGTGCTGAAAGTTCACCTCGAACTGCTTAAATTGCTAGTTGCAAGCTAATTAGTAAAATATAGCTTCGACTTATATTTATATTCAATACTGTAGGTATGTTTATTAGGTTTGGAGACGAGAAACATCTTTTTCACAATAACTCAAGTTTTACATTTTCATGAATACTACACTTTATGACTGTAATCTGACATAAAAGGAGCAACCTATTAATACTTCCTTCACTTAGATTATTTAAAGTAGATAAAACTATGCATAATTATCTGGTAAAATAGTAGACGTCAAAATTAATTCCAGTTGAATTTTAATTAAATTAACTACATGACTACATGATTAGTCATACCCTCATGTCAGTCGCAAGAGCAGAGTTCGTTTTACCTCACAATGAGTGAATGTATCGTAAAGAATATAATGGCTGGGATTAAAACGTTCACCTTCTAAGTAACTCCCATTCCCTTTAGATCCAGTCACAATGAAATCATCACTTCATACATTGTTGCTTGGCATGTTTTGTTACTGAAATCGCTTTTACAGTAGCATATAAATACATACTGAATATTACTAAATAGAATGTAAGGATACTAGGTAATTCAAAGAACGAATTCTATCCAGTACTAGCGACTGCAGTAACGGCACTAGCAGCTATACTGCTATCAGTAATGGTAATAGTAGACTTAGTAGTAGTGTAAGTACTAGTAGTCATAACTGTAGTATCAACGGCAATATACATTGTAATGGTGTTAGTACCAGCTTTAGCAATACTAGAAGTAGAGGTAATAAATAAGTTGTGCAAAGAGACTCTGTGAATATATATCTTCAGCTGCATAGGTTTATTGTTCCTCTATTTAGCTGTGTTGACTTCAGCATTCTGCTTCATTTACACACTTAGACATTCTTCATAAGTCCAGTGAACAGTCGTCTTCTGACTATGGCAGAACTACCTATTAATAATGTTTGCTCAATTTTAGCAATGAATGCATGCAAATCACAAAAATATCTGATAACCGCAACATATCTTGCCTCAGAAAGCTCATATTTCATTTCAGTAAATATATTCAGAACAACCTGCTTCAATCATCAACAAATTTTCTGTTATGATTGATTTATTTTTCCCTTCTACTCTGAACTGCATTTACATTAACTTCGTAATGAAGTTTGATAATATAATCAATTAAATTCGATTTAAAGTTTCCTTACAAATGATTAAAGTATAATAGCCACATAACTTAGTAACCCATGTAAGTTATTCTACGTGGTGGTATATTCTTAAACTTCCTATGCAGTGTCAGGATGAGGTGACGTTCATCTACGAGTCTTTTCTAAATGTCATTGATTATTATATTTACGTCCTGTTGAAATAGATGAATTTCTGCAGTAATGCATTTACATCATTAGCAAAAGAAAGCATCTACAATAGTGGTTTTTTTCTATCTCATAATTCTCTGAAGTGCCTAACCACATCTACGAAAAACGTCTTTTATATCGTTTTATGGAATATTAGAAAAAGATAGAAAACGTTACTTCTGACTATGTTACGGTGAAGTAAGACTCCTGGAAATTGTTATCAATCTCTTACCAAGATAGAAGTTTCATTGAATGTATGAATATTAGCTTGATATTAAAATCTAATAGTTTCAAGCTTCCATTCTGCTATTTGAGTGCTACAATAACGTCTATCTGCTTGCTCCTGGATATTCTAAAAATGTATGTATTGACAACAAGACGCCTTTCACTAGTGTACTTTAACTGGTACCTATTTCCTACTATTTCCTTCTGAAGTTTATAAGCACATACTCTAAACCCACACCTTTTAGACATATGAAGTAAAATGTCCGCTATTTTTTAAGCAATACCTGTTAGTAAAGACAACGCCAAGAAACTGTCTTTAATACGTTGGTAATTTAAATGATGGCTGCCTATCTTACTCCTCACCGTTGACAGTTAGTTCATGATTCGAACTGAGTAAAGAGATAGTAGATCATTTACCTAACATATCGATAAATCTTAATTAGCGCAGAAATGCTTAGCTGGCACTGCCTAACTCAATGAGCTCAAAAATATATAAGTATAACATCAATGTTTTAAAAAATCTATTCAAAAGGTTTACTCTCCATATGATGAAGTTATTCCTAATTGAGTATATAAGAGTTATACTCATGGAGATTCCCTATTTCAGCATACCGATATATTCCATGCCTTGCGAAGTATCAAAACTGAAGAGTAGTCGAAAAAATATTTTAACCTTATATCGACTTATGAGCACTGGCACATTCAATTTTTTCAGTGATATTAGTTGAAAAAGAGGAGTTTATTTTCGATACATTTACTCAGCGGATAGTATGCTGATTTTCAAAGTAGTTAGCAAGTTGAATTGGTGAAATATTCATTCACTTAGATAGATTAGATTAAGTTTAAACTTCAGACTGTATGAATACTATCCAAAAATAAGTGAATTCAGTTATATTTACGCAAAAGTTTACGATATCCTGGCAGTCTTTTGATGCGAAGTTCTGAATTCTTCGTTCTAGTGTAAGTCAGAAAACATTTTCGTCTTATTTAAATTCTATGTTGCTGTTGTTTTTTAGATACTTTTCATAACTCGAAGTATTTGTTTTACTGATGCCTCATTCAACTAGGTGAAATTAAAAAAATGTTCACTAAAACTGCGTAACATACGCTTGTATATAAGTCATAAATTACTCCTTCAATGATAAAAAATAAAATTTTAAAAAAATTAAAATTTAGCAATATCAATGTTTCATTTAAAACCTATCAGTTTTATTTCAATCATACATTGGTAATGCATCAGTGCGCTTAAAGGATAATCAATAACAGACAGTTAGGTGGATTCATAATTCTTTGTTTGAGCGACTTCTTTTCAGCCTGATTTGTAGAGTAAGAAGGCACGATCATCCAAGTAGAAGTATATGAAATTATTTGTCTCATGTGTTACATAGCTTTAAAAAAGAAAGATAAAAAGAAACATTTCTGTAAGCTGAAAACAAATCTTTTACCTACAAAAGTGAATATTTCAAGGTATAAACTATTTTATTGAGAAATAAATAACGATGATTTTATCTTACTTATTTGATGAAATATTTCATGGAGTCATACCTAATCTGAACAGTCAAGTTTCGCTAACCGATTAAATGGGATAACAAAAATGTGCGTCGGTGGCACAGTCGTTAGGACTCTCTCCGACTATGCACATGACCCGAGGTTCGATTCCGTGCCGACGCACACCTGATATCTATGGTCGGCCTGCAAAATTTGGGCTACCGATATCCATGCTGAAAACTCCATACTTCTACCAAAAATACAGTGCGAAATCAAGCTGTATTGAAAACTAAAAAAATAAAAAATAAAGCTAACGCATTGACTACCAATGCTACTATCAAAGATTCGTAATTTATATGTTCTGATACATGATATTAATATGTCTTGAAGTTTCTGGAAATGTCGTACAAAGTGTGACTACTATAAAACTTGCCTAATAAATCAAAATGAAACCAATTATTATCCCAACAATCATTATAGCAAAGGTTTTTGTATTTCCCAATAAACAAAAAACAAAACGATATTGTTTCTACTTACATTTCGCTGTTTCATGCTAATGGCTTTATCAAAGTATTATTATTATTAAACCAGGATTCACAAACTCCCAGCTTATATGTAACAACTTTATCATCGTTCCTCACCAGGGGGTCATGTTTGCGCTGTCAAGTTAGCCGGAATAATGACATGGTTACAACACCGCTGGCTGCACCATGAAATGACAAAACCAACACACATATGTGACAAATAGCTTCATTATGTTAACACATGCTGCTTTTATAATTTTATACGCTTATAAAATCTAACAATCAGGTTTTTATTATCTTTACCAATTGGCCAACTTGACAACGCAGGAATGCCCCCATGCTGAGGAACGATGATTAGGTTGTAACATATAAGCTGGGAGTTTTTAAATTCTAATTTTATAGTAATACTTTGATAAAGCTATTAGCAGCATTAAATAGCGAAATGTCAGTATAAACAATATCGTCTTGTTTTTCATTCATTGGGAAATACAAAAAACCTTTATTTTAATGAATATCATATACGCAATGGCCAAGTTTTTGCAAACTGTTAAAAGGGAACTTGTTTTGGACATATATATATATATATATATATATATATATATATATATATATATATATATTATCCTGATAAATTACTTTCTTCTTGTATTTATTTAACTCACCTTCCAAAATGTCGTCCAACTATACAATGCCATGTAGGATGATGTCTACGATCAAAATCTTTCTTGATATGAGCAGCTATATCTTTTTCCACATCATATTTGTCTAAAGCACTAGCAGCTACATGGACAGCATCTTCTTGCATTTCAGTACTCATATCAGCATTTTTAATGACAGCTTTTCGTTCACTCATTTTATGATAATTTTAGGATAATATTATAAGTATACTACTAATCAGTTTGTGTGTGACATATATTAGACAATTTTTATAGCTTTTATTTTAAACAATTTTGGCATGAGAATACCTTTTTACGAATAATAATTAGCTTCAGTAGCATAGCTTCATGTTGGAAAATGCTGTTGTCTTTTTTTTAAATTTCTAATTGTTTTGCATGCACACGTAGACAAACCGTAGATCTTTTAAAAGTCTATCAGCGTTTTTTTGTTATTGCCTAGTTCATTATTACTTTGAATGATATAAACGATTCTATTAAAGAAGCAGAAGAAGAAGCCAGTAGTTAATCTGTATGTTTGTCTAACGAATTAATATCACTTGATCAGTTAGTAGTTGGTCAGATGCTTGTTATGACTAGGTAATTTTTTTATCACGCGCCAAATAAATGGAATATCTTTTAAAAAAGAAAGGTAAAGTATCTAATTCATAAAGAATAGATTTATTGGCATTCAGATGATTACGTGTATTGTAAGTAGTGTGAAATGCATTAAAATATAAGCATTTGTATAATATATGGCTATTTTATTGCTTAACTTTTCACTCTATGCAAACAAAATTGATTAACACAGGATATTAGATGGACATTTTTAATTCATTCAGGATAATAAACAGACAAGCTCAAGTCCCATGAAATTCTAAAAGACCGTTTTTATCAGACCCAGCTCTTAACATTTAACTGATTATCTCATCTGCTAATAAATGTAAGTGTTCATTTTCTTTCATTCTTAACTCATATACCTGAATATCTTGTTGTCATTCTTCTTCCCCTTCTCGAGAAAATTAGATTATATAATAATCATTCTTAATCGATAAGCTTCCTTCAATGAAAATAAGAATAATAATGGTGACATGGAATTTTTGTGCAATGTACGAAGCTGGGAAGGCTGTCCAGATTGCGAGAAAAATGAGAAGATATAATAAAGTATACTTATATTTTAATAGTTTACACACAATGATAAGTTTTGTTATTGGTAATTTTGCTCGAAATATTACCAATAACAAAACTTATCATTGTGTGTAAACTATTAAAATATAAGTATACTTTATTTGATCTAATCCACAATGCTCAAACTTTTTACTGAGAAGATATGGTTTAGAAGTTCTCAAAATCTGTGAGAGAAGATTGAATGAGTATGGACTGTCAAAATTATCAACTAGTGGGTCAGTAATCTAATCTGGTCTGGTCAACTAGATGACAACCATAATCACGCTGAGGAAGTCAGTGGCTATCATGATGTCACCAGTGGAAGCCAAAGCTCCAGTAAAGTGGGAACCAATCTCCTCCTGCAGGATAATGACAGCAAGATTCAACTTAAAAGAGAGGAAGAAAGGTTACAATCTTTCAATGCTTCACATAATGCTACAAAAAATGCGGAACAAGAGAAGAAGAAAGATTTTTACAGACAACTACAAACAGTAATGGACAACATCCAAAATGGCGACATTCAAATCCTCATGGGCGATATGAAGGTCAGTTGAAATGGTAGCAGATAATATAGTAAGAGAACTCATCATGGGTCGAGAGGCTCTTACTCGGCAAAATGAATGATAATGGAAAACTCTTCACAGACTTCTGTGCCTTCAATCATTTGGTGAAATTAGATAGAAAAACCACCATTAACTAGATAGATTTCAGCTCACTCTCAAGGATGTAGAAACGCAACCTGCAACTCGCCTGAAAGTACCACCAAAATCGAGCACAGAATCGCCCGCCAGTGAACACCAATCCCCCACCGGAAGCAGAAATTTAAATGCAATCAAACTACTGAAAACGAAGAAGGCAGCAGGACCAGACGGGATTCCCCCTACCTCAAAGCACTGAAAACGGACCAAGAGATAGCGTTAAATGTGCTGATGCCACTATTGCAAAAGTTTGAAAGTAAAGGATTGGAAAGAAAGGCTGGCTACTTCGCCAAGCTGCCAAAGAAGGGTCACTTAGGCCGGTGCAAGATCTGTCGTGGAATAATGCTCTTGTTCACGCCAAGTGAAATGCTAAGTCACATCATCCTGGAGAATAGAGGACGTATTGGATACAGAACTCCGCCATCTACCGGAACAGGCTGGATACAGGAAAGACAAATCATCTGCTGATCAACTTGCAACTCTACGCATCCTCATCGAACAGAGCATAGAATGGCAGCCAACCCTCCACCTCAACCCCATCTACTTCGAAAAGGCTTTCGACTGCTTTGATCGAGAAGTTATTTCGGAACTGCTTCAAAACTACGGCGAGCCTCAAGTCTTTATCAACCTCATTCAATAGTCTATACGACAATACCACCTGTCAGATGATCCACAACGGACGACTCAGAGAAGAGTTTGAGGTGAATACAGGAGTAAGACATGGGCTCCTGCTACCACCAATGATATTCCTAATTGGTGTGGACTTGATCATGCGTTAGACTGTTTCTGGGGAGCGAGGAGACAGGAATACTCTGGACAAAGGATGAGAAAACTCTAGAAGATCCGGATTTCCCGTGTGGGTGATTTATGCTTAATATTTCACACACAAGCTCGAAGACTTGCAGGCTAAAACCAAAAAACTGGCTGATGAGGCTGGCAGATAAGACAGGACTCCAGGTGAACATATAGAAGACGGAGGTGATGAAGATTACCAAAGAACAGCTTCAACAACAACCAGCATCAATTGCCATCAAAAAGGAGAAATTCAACAGAGGTCACTTCCTATACTTATTTGGCTAGGAAGTATCGTTTCCACTACAGGTGGAACGGATGAAGACGTCAAAGCTAGCCAAAATTGGAAAGGCAAGACATGCCTTCATCAACCTGAAACCAGTTTGAAAATCTTCTGCACTCCACTACAGCAGAAAAAACAAAACTCCGATTTCCAAAACAAATGTCAAGGAAGTCAGTGCTTCTATATGGATCAGAAACTTGCACTTCACGTCACGAAGAGGATTTCCAACAGGTTGCAGACTTTTATCAACAGCAGTCTTCTCTGGCTGCATACTGAAAACTGAATGGCCGGTTGGCCCGAAAGAATTAGCGACAAGAAACTCTGCCTGGCTTGTCGCCAGCCAAGAGCGGATCGCTCAACAAATATGCAAAAGAAATTAAAAATGGATTGAGTATACGTTGAAGAGGCCTTCGAATGACATCGCGCGCAATGCGGGTCATCGCTCGAGTGAAATCCCAGTGGGATGCAACGAGTGTGTAGTCAGTGCAAGGGTGACATGGTGGAGATCATGTGAGTTGAAGGAAAAGATGAGAGATTATGATCAATCGTGGACCCGGCTGAAGAAGATGGCAGAAAATAGAAGAAAGTGGAAATGTGTTGTTGAAGCCCTTTGTTTCACTCAGAACCCAAGGGAACAACAATAATAATTTCTGTATGAAATCATTGAACAAATAAAATATTAGAATTTATTTATTAGCAGTTCAAGTTGAATCTTTGTTCTATCAGTATAGAGTGCAAAAAATGCTCTAAAAGTTTAAAGACTACTTGTTATGTCTCCTTTAAATGATTAAAATTACTGAAGAAACACTATATAACATTAAGCGCATAAAACCAAGACATACGTTGCAATTAATTTATTTGTAACTATTTCTAGACATCATTTCAGAACATTTATTTCGTGTCTGAAAATGCCAAGTACCATAATCAAATGAACTTGTTGTTCTAACAACAGAGGATTTAAAACATGTAGTATGGCTTATTAGTATGAAGTGAATATGCTTAATAAATTAAAAAATAGTGTGTTTCAAAGTGACTTGAGTAACCGAATCCTGAAAGTGCCTATTCTTTGTGCTCTCAAACTTAATGCGGTACTTTCTCTACAAACATGTTACTATTTTAACATAAAGATCTTAAGTGTATTGTCATCAGCTGAGTATCAGTTGCAATCATACAGTCTTTTTAGTTCTTTTAGCTTGTATACTCTTGACATTGACTACTTTTCCTACACTCATTGTCCCTTATATAATGTGGTTTTTGCTTCAAATTACTTCTAGATTGCAAGTGTTAATTCGTAGGAATGTGTGCGGTTTCAAGTTTATTAGCGGATTGCTATAAGTTTGAGAACCTCTGAGAACTTTACAGTACCAGACAGCCATCTCATTCTAATCTGGGACTCTTCATCAGTACGTACTTATTACTCCCACCGAGGATCGAATCCAAGACCTTCCGGTTACAAGGCAAGAATTTCGCCTATTCAGCTAATAGGACAGAATTCAATACTGTAAAAATACAATATAACTAGAAATAAAATTGATTTAAATTACAGAATTCCATGAAAATTGCATACTTAAATGTAATCTACAAGAAGTTTTTATCTAATATCCATGAATAATCCCAACCCTAGCATTTTTCAAAAGTTAAACCGTAGATCACCAAGGATGCTTCCTTCGGCGATCTCATTTCCTCCAGCTGTACAGTTGCACTTCTTTAAGATTCTTTTTAAAAGATGAGAGCAACAAAAGAGGTCAAATGTCATCAGTATAGTTGCTAATACTTATCATTAATTAGAGGATTTGAATGATGACGACAGAGTTACACAATGAGATCAATGATTTCAATAATGATTTGCCACATATCACTAGTTAATCAAGATACTTACGACTATGCTGTGGTTGTTATTTTCCTAAAACAGTCTGGACTTATAAACCATAACAGTCCAAGCTTTTCCAAAGAACCTTAACTATCAGTAACTGGTTTCCGAAATGCTCCATACAATGTTACAACAAGTTGTTAGAATTTAATTTTCATTGGGTTACCATGGTAATCGACTGAGCAGGCTTTGAAAATGTAATGACTAAAATTCTTTGAGGACTATAAAATGCCGAAACATATTAGTTTTCTATAGTTTGGTTTTTAAGGGTTTGTTGTTTTTACGAGTTGATCACGGATTGATATCAGTTCGAATCCAGGACGTTCCGGTTCGAATCCCAGTGGGTGCGTACTGCCGATGACTCCCAAACTAGGATGAAACAGCAGCTGTCCAGTACTCCCTGGTTTTCAATGGTTCTCTAACTGATATCAATCCGTGATCAACTCGTAGAAACATATTAGTGCTAAATTTCATTTAGGCTTACGAAGTAGTACAAAACGGTGTTGGGGGTATTTTAGCAACGAATATAATTATCATAATACCTTACCACTTGTTCTGTTAGCTTTATTGCCAAATTATTACAATGCAAAAGATATACAAATTCTTGTTTAGTATATACCCGATACACGTTATTATCCTACTGAAGCTAATTCTTTTTTCTCACTTACTGAATGCCGTCATTCATCAATTCTGGTACTGTGAGATATCCCAAGTTTTCACAACCTCCTAGAACATGCACATAATTCCCTAAGACACCAAAGTCTGAAGGCTACCTAGCATCCGTCAACCCTTAACGTTCCATGTGAAAACAGTCTTATCTAACACAGTTATTCAGTTCATTGTTTAATTATAATTTTAACATAGCAATAGAAAATTC